TTCTCATTATAATGTCAGTCAAGAGCATCTGCTAAGAGTGAGAAAAACAGATTAAATAAGGTACTTTTTGGAGAAAGCAGGGCTGAAAAGGTGTGGGATAGCAAGTGCATGAAGAAGTTGAGTAACCTAATGAACTGTTGAGTTCTTATTTGAAATCTGTGGTCATGAATTCATTTGCAACTCTCGATAATTGTGACATTAAGGAAGTCATTTCCCCTCTCTGAGCTGTACTTTCCTACCTATTACGCAAGGATGGCACTTTCCCCAAAGCAAGGATGTTGTAATAATAGATGACAAAATATGTAGCACCTGGCACATATGGAGGACTCCCCAAATGGCAGCCCTCATAATCAGTGCGGGTATCATCACTAGCTGGGCGCTATGGCTCATGCCTGTAAGCCCAGCACTTTTGGAGGCCGAGATGGATATATCATGAGGTCAAGAGATCAAGACCATCCTGGCCAACATGGTGAAACCCTGTCTCTACTAAAGATACAAAGATTAGCTGAGCATGGTGGCACACACCTGTTCCCAGCTACTGGGGAGGCTGAGACAGGAGAATCGCTTGAACTTGGGAGGCGGAGGTTGCAATGAGCCAAGATTGCGCCACTGCACTCCAGTCTGGGTGACAGAGCGCGACTCCATCTCAAAAATAAAGTAACATCACCATCTTATTGGACCTTTTAAAAGGTCATTTGGCTTTCTTCCAGAGATTGGATTGTAGGGCGGGTTCGCAGCTCTCCTCACATTACAACTAGGGTGGACCCGAAACTTTGCAACTTTTGCCTTGTCAACCTGACCCCACCTGTTATTACACAATCATCCTTTCTTGTTGTATCTTTTTTTTTTTTTTTTTTTTTTTTTTTTTTTTTAATGGAGTTTCATACTTTTACCGAAGCTGGAGTGCAGCGGCACAATCTCAGCTCACTGCAACCTCTGCCTCACAGACTCAAGTGGTTATCCTGCCTCAGCCTCCCGAGTAGCTGGGATTACAGGCACCCGCCACAATGTCCAGCTAACTTTTCTATTTTTAGTAGAGATGGGGTTTTACCATGTTGGCCAGGCTGGTCCCCAACTCCTGGCCTCAAGTGATCCACCCGTCTTGGCCTCCCAAAGTGCTGGGATTACAGACATGAGTCACTGTGCCTGGCCTGTATCAACATTTTAAAATGAATTTGAGATTATGGATAAATCATGTCTTCTAAGTGCCTTGTAGAATGTTCAGAGGGTGGGTAGAGAAAATCTGAGTCTGTCGAGGGACAATGGGGTGAGAGAGGGTTAACAGCACAATTCAGCTGTATTCAATCTGGGTGAGCTCCAGTTCCAACTCTACTTCTTTCTACCTGGGAACACTGAACGCTACATTAATGTAGCCAGTATAAGTCTCAACTTCCTCATCTGTACAATGGTGATAATAATTACTAGGTTGGTGCAAAAGTAATTGCAGTTTTTGCTATTATTTTCAACGGCAAAAACCGCAGTTACCTTTGCACCAACCTAACATCACTAAGGTTAGTCAATATTCACCACGTCTCAGGATGTGCTCAGTGCTTACACATATTAACACAGCCCATCCACAGATCCTATGAGAGGAGTTGTGAGGGTTAAAGGAGAAGCTCTTGGCATGTGGATAACGTTCATAAGTGGAAGTTGCTATTGCTATGAGCTTCTTTCTTGTCCTGACCTTGAGCTTCATAATGGATTAAGCCCCATAACACAGCACACAACCTGGTGAGGGCCAAGCATTCCCATTTGTCACAGACTTACTCAGTCTAGGCTAAAAGATTTCCATGTCTATCCTCACTTAACCCTCACCTGAAAGTTAGACGTCACCATAAAATTGTCCTCTTTCCACAGAGCAGAAAACTGAGGCTCAAAGAGTTATCACCGACCAGGAACTCATAGTGAAGAGATATCACAGATGAGATTAGAATAGAGATCTAGCTGACTCCAGAGCCCAGTCTTCTTTATAACAGTGACTCTCAATTGAGGGTGATTTTGCCTCCGAGGGGAACTTTGACAATGTTTATGGAACCTGTTGATCGTCATTCCTGAAGAAGGAGTTGCTACTGGTATCTGCAGATAGAGGCCAGGGGTGCTGCTAAACATCTTACTCTGTAGAGAACAGTCCCTCACAGCAAAGAATTACCCAGCCCCAAATGTCAATGGTGCCAAGGTTGAGAAACCCTCGGTTACATTAAACAAGGTCCCATGGAACACCTCAGTGAAAGTGACTGGTAACAGCAGGAAGAAAAGGAAGAAATGAGTAAAAGAAAGAGGGTTGGCTGGACACGGTGACTCATCCCTGTAATCTGAGCACTTTGAGAGTCCAAGGCAGGCAGATCAAGGTCAGGAGTTCGAGACCAGCCTGACTAACATGGTGAAACCCCGTTTCTACTAAAAACACAAAAATTAGCTGGGTGTGGTGGCACACACCTGTAATCTCAGCTACTCAGGAGGCTGAGGCAGGAGAATCCCTTGAACCCAGGAGGCAGAGGTTTCAGTGAGCCAAGATTGCACCACTGCACTCCAGCCTGGGTGACAGAGCGAGACTCTGTTTAAAAAAAAAAAAAAAAAAAAGAGGGCTAAAAATAATCAGACTGGGGCATGGCCCTATCCTAGTAATCTTGGGGAACCCCTTTCAAAGGCAGGACTTCAGTATACAAAGGCAGTGGCTCTGGAGTTGTTCATCTTGGTTTGCAAATCTTGCTGCCTCCACTGACTGGCTGGGCACGAGGCTGGAAAAACTACGGAAGTCCCTGGGCCATGAACTCCCCCCAGTGTGATGGCTGCTTCACAGTGTTATGAGCGTTAGATGTGAACAAGTGCTAGGGAATTGCTGCTTCTCTTAAAGATGCTGAATAGCCCAGTCTGAGATGATTCGCAAATTCTCATGGCCGTAACAAATCATCCTGACTTTTACACAGATTCTAGAGCGGGATTTAAGAATATATATATTTTTTCATTTTTATTTTAAGTTCAGGGGTATATGTGCAGGTTTGTTACGTAAGTAAACTTGTATCCTGGTGGTTTATTGTACAGATTATTTCATCACCGAGGTATTAAGCCTAATATCCACTAGTTATTTATCCTCCTCCCACCCTCCACCTTCTGGTAGGCTCCAGCGTTAGCCTCTTTGTGTCCATTGTTCCCATCATTTACCTCCCACTTGTAACTAAGAACATGTGGTATTTGGTTTTCTGTTCCTGCACTAGTTTGCTAAGAATAATGAATACAATTTTAACAGGCAGCCTGGATGTCTCTGATAAAGTCCACACACCACAGCATAAGAAAATGTGCTCAAGTGGTAAGGAACTTTGTGTCGAATCTGAACAAAAATTACAGACGTGCCGGGCACGGTGGCTCAAGCCTGTAATCCCAGCACTTTGGGAGGCCGATGCGGGTGGATCACGAGGTCAAGAGATCGAGATTATCCTGGTCAACGTGGTGAAACCCCGTCTCTACTAAAAAATACAAAAAATTAGCTGGGCATGGTGCGTGCCTGTAATCCTAGCTACTCAGGAGGCTGAGGCAGGAGAATTGCCTGAACCCGGGAGGCGGAGGTTGCGGTGAGCCGAGATCGCGCCATTGCACTCCAGCCTGGGTAACAGGAGCGAAACTCCGTCTCAAAAACAAACAAACAAACAACAACAACAACAAAAAATTACAGATGTGACCCGGACCAGAGGCAGGGACTACATTTTTTGGATTTTTGTTCTTAAAAGAAAAAGAAACGAGATCTGAGAAGCTCTGCAGGTTATATTCTTACAATGTTACTGTCTGCAATTTAGTCACGCGTCCACAACAAAAGCAATCCCTTGCAGAGTAACAGGGATTCCACTTGGTGCTAATTAGACTAGTCAAGTCTAATTCTCTGTGTTTACTCCCAACACAGAGAAAGGACATCTTCTCTGCGGGGTGAGTAACTAAACACAACTGCCAGTTTTTGAGCAGAGAAGAATGGGGAACAGTTGCTGGGTAGGCAATCAGCAATACCTGTCAAAAGTAAGGGTTTCGAAGTCAGGCCAAGCTGAACTGAAGTCCTTAATCTATTTCTACTACCTAAGTGACCTTCAACACATTTCACAATTACCCTGAGCATTGATTTATTCTAATGAAAACTAGAAGTAATGAATATTACAGAGCTATTACATAGGCCAACCTGGATCCCATATGTAGTAATTAACACAATGCATATTCCCTAATAAGAACTTCTTAACTATTAACACAACTTATTATTCTCATAGTCTTTATCCCACAGACGCCAACGCTATACAAATGGGTACTAATTATTTGCATTCCCAACAGAGAAGAGCTCCACATCAAGTGGGGACAGGGAAAAGCAGGGGGTAGACAGGAGAGATGGGACCCTGTTTGCTGACTTCCTCTAGTTCAGAGTCCTCAGGATGTACCATACTACTACACATTCCCAGTGACTGCTCAAAATCCTCTTTGAAAATAACCTCAAGCCAAACCCTCAAATTTTATCTTGAGTACTAGCCAAACAGTAGATCAAGGGTTCTCACAGGTGAGGGACAGGAGCTGGGAGACTGGCAGAACCAGGAGCTTAAAGATATGTTGCAGAGCCTGCCAGCATGTTTGCACTGAATGATGGGGGACGCAGATGTGAACCTTCTGACTGAGCCTTATGCCTTTCTCACAACCCTGAAGCTGCCTCTGCTTAATTCTCCATGGTCCATACAATGTAAGTTCAGTACTTCTGCTAGTGGACAGAGCCTTGTAATCCTCTTGGTGAAGTGATCAGCCTGATAAGTGAAATGCATATTGGTAATGATGGGACTATCGGGGACTATCCCTTCCCGAAGAAACATCCAAGAGAATGCCAATTCTATAGCACCATCGTCAGCAAGGTTTAGTAGATAGAGTGGGTCTCCCGGTAGGAGTGTGTGCTTTAGTGAGAGTTGATGTGAGCTATGAAGACACATGCTGTAAGATGGTTCCACAGCTCAGAAATGGCCATCGTTGCAATGTTTCAGGTGCCGGCAAGATGGAAACCAACTTTTCTACTCCTCTGAACGGAAGTGAACAAGTTTCCTATGAGTCTCCTGGCTACGCTGCTCTGCGGATTCTCTCATTGGTGGTGACTGGGGTCACCTTTGTCTTTGGGGTCCTGGGCAATGGGCTTGTGATCTGGGTGGCTGGATTCCGGATGACACGCACAGTCACCACCATCTGTTACCTGAACCTGGCCCTGGCTGACTTTTCTTTCACTGCCACGCTACCATTCCTGATGGTCTCCACGGCCATGGAAGAAAAATGGCCTTTTGGCTGGTTCCTGTGTAAGGTGGTTCACATCGTGGTGGACATCAACCTCTTTGGGAGTGTCTTCTTGATTGCTTTCATTGCACTGGACCGTTGTATTTGTGTCCTGCATCCAGTCTGGGCCCAGAACCACCGCACCGTGAATCTGGCCATGAAGGTGATCGTGGGACCTTGGATTCTTGCCCTAGTTCTTACCTTGCAAATTTTCCTCTTTTTGACTACAGTAACGCTTCCAAACGGGGACACATACTGTACATTCAACTTTGCGTCCTGGGCTAATACCCCCGAGGAGAAGTTAAGGGTGGGCATTATCTTCCTGACAGCCAGAGGGATTATCCGGTTTGTTATCGGCTTTAGCCTGCCCATGTCCATTGTTGTCATCTGCTATGGGCTCATTGCAGTCAAGATGCATAAAAAGGGCATGATTAAATCCAGCCGCCCCTTACGGGTCCTCACTGCTGTGGTGGCTTCTTTCTTCATCTGTTGGTTCCCCTTTCAACTGGTTGCCCTTCTGGACACAGTCTGGCTCAAAGAAAAGTTGTTCTTTGGCAAGTACAAAATCCTTGATGTCCTGAATGACCCAGTGAGTGCTCTGGCCTATTTCAACAGCTGCCTCAACCCCATGCTCTATGTCTTTGTGGGTCAGGATTTCCGAGAGAGACTGATCCACTCCCTACCCAGCAGTCTGGAGAGGGCCCTGTCTGAGGACTCAGCCCCAACCATTGACACGGTTACCAATTCTGCTTTACCTCCTGCAGAGGTTGAGTTACAGAAAATGTGAGGACAGGGTCAGGAATCTTCTGAGATCTGTCTCATCCTACCTTAATACCAGTTCCAGCTTCATCTACTCTTGAGTCATATTGAGGCACTGAAGGATGAGCAGCTCAAGTATTTATTCAGGAAAAATGCTGTTGTGTCCCTGATTTGAAGCTAAGAAATAGACAGTCCGTCTACTATAATATTGGTATTATTTTTGGGTTTTGGACCTTTGCCTGTACCCTGGGGTAAGTGGAGATGGGAAACATAAGAAGAGAAAGAATGATGGAGATTTGTAAGAGTTAGATAAGGTAGCGTATAATAAGGGGAAGGCTTTCAAGTAAAATGTTTATACCATAAAGTAAAATGCTTGCTGCAGGTTTTTTTATAGCTATTTTAAAAAATCAAACTATGGAAGTTTTCGTCGATTTTTAGTTTGCAAAGAGTTTTCTGTTTCTTTTTCTTACATCATGAATAGAGGTTGCATTTTATCAAATGCATTTTCTACATATATTACAATGATCATATTATTATTCTTTCACGCAAATCATTATAAATTATGTTCATTAAGTTATGAATGTTAAAGTACTCTTGAATTCCTGGAATAAACCACACTTAGTCCTGATGTACTTTAAATATTTATAATATGTCTCACAAGAGTTGGTTAGAATTGGCCGGGCGCGGTGGCTCAAGCCTGTAATCCCAGCACTTTGGGAGGTCGAGGCGGGTGGATCACGAGGTCAAGAGATCGAGACCATCCTGGTCAACATGGTGAAACCCCGTCTCTACTAAAAATACAAAAAATTAGCTGGGCATGGTGGTGCGTGCCTGTAATCCCAGCTACTCAGGAGGCTGAGGCAGGAGAATTGCCTGAACCCAGGAGGTGGAGGTTGCGGTGAGCCGAGATGGCGCCATTGCACTCCAGCCTGGGTAACAAGAGCGAAACTCCGTCTCAAAAAAAAAAAAAAAAAAAAAAAAAGAGTTGGTTAGAATTTCTGTGTTTATGTTTATATAAAAATGGCTCTGTTATTTCATTTTTTTCTACTATCCTTGCTAAGTTTTACATTAAACTTGTAATAGTCTCTTAAAAGGAATTGAGAAATGATTTCTCTGATTCTATTTTCTGGTGGTATACCCTTATTAAATATTCAGAAAAATTCACCAGTGAAGCCAACTTGGTCTTGTGCTTTCTTTCTAGGAAGATTTTTAATAACAGGTTTGTTTTCTTTAACAGTCATTAGACTCTTCTAGTTTTTTTTCCCCATATTTGTCAGTTTTGGTAAACTGTGATTTTCAAAGAATTTGGCCATTTCATTCCAACTGTTCAACTCATTGGCATGAAACAGTATAATAGCTGTTTAAAAGTTATAAAACAGTATGAAACTTGATATGCTTTCTTTCATTTATTTATTTTTCCTGATTCTTGTTCTTGTTCTTCTTGTTATTATTCTAGAGCACAGCCTTTGGAGATATGGTTTCTTTTAAACAATGAAAATGTAAGCTCTCTGAAGGCAGGGATTTTGGTCTGTATTGGTCACTGATTAACCCTCATCCTCCATGTGTAAAATACTGTCTGATATGTACTAGGCATTTATTAAATGCTCATTGAATGAGTGAATCGATAAACAATAGTATCACCTAGGTGTCAAGTGAGAACATTGAATGTCAAATCGAAATTATCTTCAACCCTCATTACACAAACCAGACCATGTCCAGTAAACACACACCCTCAAGCACACAGTATTTAGAAATTCCCATGTGGCTTACATTTTCATAAATTTCTGGTTTTGAGCTTCTGCTTTAAGGAAAGTACCATGGCTGTTTCCTCATGCCTTTGTTTTGAAATAAATCAACCACAAAGGTACTCAGCCTTTTACTTTGCTTTCAGGAAATAACCACTCAGACATGGTTCTACAGTACGGAACACACTGTCCTGATGCACTGGCAAAAGACACAACTCTACATGAACATGGGGCAGTCCTGTTTTCAGCATCCTCACTCCACTGCTTTTACTGTCAATTTTCCTCTCCCTTTCCCTCCTATTTCCCCTAAAGTTATTTGCATTTCCAAAGCAGAACAGTTTCCTGAGTTCATTTGCATTCTTGACTCATAAATGCTTTCAGGTTCCTGAGAAAAGTATACTCTTTAATGCTCAACAACGTTGTGGCTACAGAAAATAAGGAACAAGGAGAAAATGCAAGAAGGAAGAGCCAGGAGCCATGAACAGTCTATGACCTCTGGACAGGAGAACTAAGGCTTCTAGATTGGCTCATTAACAGCGTTCCTGCTCTGCCAGGGCAGAGGATTCCTACTTTGCTTCCCATTGGCCTTGGTTAATTGCGGTAGAACAGCGCCTGCTGCACCCTCCCCATTTGTCTTTGCTTCATTGGAAGTTGTCATTGTGGATTCTCACTTCCCATTGCACTCTTGTAGAGTGGGGTCTTCAGGAGCTGAGGAGTTTTTTGTGTTTATGGGACATTCGCCACCAAGACACATTTCCAGACTTGCTTGAATCTGAAAGTCCAAAATAAACTCTGGGGACAGTGCCATTGGGAAAAGATGAGACCACATTTTCTGTTTGGGGAGAAGAGTGCAGAAATGTCGAGTACCCAAAGGCGTAAGCTCCTGTGGAGACTGCCGGCTGCCTACCAAATATTCTTCCCTCTACTTTATTAACAAATGTGGGCAGCAATTTATTCAGCTAAAATAATCCTTTCTCAGTCATCCTTCCAGCTAGATGTGAGTAAATTCTAAGCAGTAAGATGGAATAGTAGTATTAACATCAGTACATAAGGAGCTGCCTCATTATTTTATTAACTGAGTGGGTTTTGTTGATTTATTTATTTATTTATTTATTTATTTACTAAGACAGGGTTTAACTCTGTCACTCAGGCTGGAGCCCAGTGGCACTAATCATGGCTCACTGCAGCCTTGATTTCCTGAGGTGTTCTTCCACCTCAGCCTTCTGAGTAGTGAAACTGCAGACTTGTGCCACCATGCCCAGCTAAATTTTGTATTTTCTGTAGAGACAGGGTTTCGCCAAGTCACACAGGCTGGTCTCAAACTTCTGAGCTCAAGCAATCTTCCTGCCACGCCCTCCTAAAGTACTGGGATTATAGGTGTGAGCCACTATGCCTGGCCTAGAGTTTATTTTTTAGAGCAATTTTAGATTCACAGCAAATTGGGAAGAAAATACAGAGATTTCCCATAAACCCACTGCCCCCACACGTTCACAGCCTCTGTCATTATCGACATCCCCCACCAGAGTAATACATTTCTTACAGTTGATAAACCTACATAGATACATCATTATTATCCAAAACCCAGAGTTTACACTAGGGTTCATTCTTGGTGTTTTACATTCAGTGGGTGATAAGGTTAAGCTCTGTGTCCCCACCCAGATCTCATCTTGAATTGTAATCCCCATAATCCCCATGTGTCAAGGGAGAGACCAGTGGAGGTAAGTGGAGGTAACTGAATCAGGGGGCAATTTCCCCATGCTGGTCTTATAATAGTGAGTGAGTTCTCATGAGATCTGATAACCATTATAAGGGGCTTTTCCCCCTTCACTAGGCACGTCTTCCTGCTGTCTTGTGAAGAAGATACCTTGCTTCGCCTTTGCCTTCTGACATGATTGTAAGTTTCCTAAGGCCTCCCCAGCCATGCTGAACTCTGAGCCAATTAAACGTTCTTTTATAAATTACCCAGTCTCAGGCAGTTCTTTATTGCAGTATGAAAACAGACTAATACAGTGGGTTTGGACAAAAGTATACTGACCTGTATTCACCATTACAATATCATACAGACTCATTTCACCACCCTAAAAATCCTCTGTGCTCTGCCTATTCACTGCACCCTCCTCCCTATTCCCTGGAAACCACTGATATTTTCCTTATCTTCACAGTTTTTCCTGTTTCAGAATGTCATATAGTAGAAATCATGCAGTATGTAGCCTTTTACTCTTGGCATCTCTCATTTAAAGTTTCCTCCATGTCTTTTCATAGACTGAGAGCTCATTCTTTTTTAGCATTGAATAATGCCCACTCTCTGGATGTACCATCATTTATTTATCCATTCACCTACTGAAAAACATCTCGGTTGCTTCCTAATTAGGCAATTATAAATAAAGCTGCTATAAACATCCATGTGCAGGTTTTTGTGTGGATGGAAGTCTAAAACTTGTTTTGGTAAATGCCAAAGAACATGATTGCTGGATTGTACGGTGAGCATGTGTTTACTTGCATAGAAAACCGCCAAACTCTCTTCCAAGGTGGCTGTACCATTTTGCATTCCCACCAATAACAAATAAGGATGTTCCTTGTCTTTGTCAGCATTTGGTTTTGTCAGTGTTCTGGATTCGGGACATTTCTAATAGGTGTAGGGTGGCATCTCACTGTTTTAACTTGCATTTTCCTGATAATATCTCATGTGGAGCACCCGCTCATACGTTAACCTGGCATCTGTATGTCTTCTTTCTTGAGGTACCTGTTAAGGACTGGACCCATTTTTAAAAAGGGCTGTGTTCTTATTGTTGAGTTTTAAGAGTTTTTTACATATTTTGGATAACAGTTCTTTATCTGATATGTTTTTTGCAAGACTCTCCCACAGAGCAGTTTTTTTTGTTTTTGTTTTTTTTGAGACGGAGTCTCACTCTGTCACCCACACCAGAGTGCAGTGGTACCATCACGGCTCACAGCAGCCTCAACCTCAGGGACTCAAGTGATCCCCACACTTACTTCATTCTCTCAAGTAGTTAAGACTACAGTTGTGCACCATTATGCCCACCTAATCACTTATTTTCTGTAGAGATGGGCGAGGGGTCTCACTTTGTTGCCCAAGCTGGTCTCAAATTCCTGGGCTCAAGCCATCCTCCCACCTCAGCCTCCTAAAGTGCTGGGATTACATGCCCAGCTGGAAATTTTCAATTTTATTAAGAATTGCCTTCTTGATTCTTTCTTTCGTGGATTATTACAAAGTTATTGTCAAATCAAACATCATCTAGATTTTCTCCTATGTTATCTTCTAGGTGTTT